AGGTGACGGGCTGGGCTGTGCCCGCCGGCGTTTCGCACGGGGGCGGTGGGAGAGGGACAGCCTGGAGCCCGCTGCCTGCTGCCTGCACGTGTAGGTTCGGGAGCTGCATGTGTGCTCCATCCTGGAGGTGATTCTACTTTCTCCGAACTGAGCTGGAGCAGTTTTGCTTTGAGGTTTTGGCCTGGGGCCCACGCCTTATGGAGAGGGTTTCGTTTTTTGAGGAGAGGAGGCATTGTGCTTTCCAGGAGGCTTGAGAGCCCCTCATACCATCTCCTGGAGGTGAGAGGAAGCAGTGCTCCAGGACCTGTGGTCCTGAGGAGCTTTTGGGAGTGGGAAGGCCAGGAGACACGGCAGAGGCAGGTGAGGAAAGGACACACCTAATCATCCTGTTCCTCCCCTTGGACACTGAGATTTCTCAGCCCGCCCCAGCCTCTTCTCCACTTCTCCGTCCTGGCGCCTCAATACCACCCAGAAGCCATTCCTTTGCTCCCACCCTGTCCCTTTTCCTTCTTTGGTGTTTACATTCTTCAGATACTTACAGGCTGTTATCACCTCCTCTGTAGCCCTTCTTCAGCCAGAGCAGGCAGCTGCCTCTCCTTAACCTGCTGTTGCAAGTCAGTCTTTCCAGATGTCACCTATGGCACCTATGGCCCCAGCTGCTTGGGACCCCCTCCAATGCCTCTACCTGGCCAGCTGTGGGGCTGAACTCTGATGGGGTGGATGCAACTGGCCGCGATAGCTGCTGTCACCTCCCAGGGCAAAGTCTCGCCGTCCACAGCCCTGAGCTGCACCACAGGGCCATGCATTTTGCCGGGGGTGCATCCTGCCACATCACTGCATCTCCGGCACCCGGATCTCTCCTAGCAGTTTGTCTTTCCTGGATGTTTCCTCCTCCCACTGCTGGGCCGTTTCCTCTGGATGAGGGGTTCTACTGGAACCCTGCTCTCTCCTCTGTCAGTATCCTGAGCGTTTTATGCTGGATGAGGAAACTGGATTTAGTTATGGGGAAGGGAAGAAGAGTGGCTTTAAGCACGTTGTGCATCAACTGATGCCTCAGCTTATGGTACTGGCCCTGCTGTGGCAAGAATAGTTCAAGGACGATTCTGTAGAGCTGCAGCACTGTGTCTGGAGCTGGCAGGGAAGGCAGAAACGCTGTGCAATTTGCCTGCTTGGGATAAACCCTCCAGGGAGATTTTCTGACCCCAGCACTGTGTTTGGGGCGGTGGTTCTGGCAGGACTTCATGGTGGTTTTCCCAGTGGTGTACATCCTGTTAATATTATTTTGGCACCTAATGCTTCGGGATTGTAAATCCTCAATAAGACAAGACCCAGCCGATCTGTATGACAGCCCCAGCCAGGAGTCCTTTCACTCCCTCTCTCCATATATTGTTTTTCTGCCTCGGTGGAGCCTGCCTGTCTCTCTTCTGTCGAGTGCACGTGCATCCCGGGTGGGGGGTGGTTGCGCTTTGATGTTTTGCCTCCTTTCCTTCCCTCCCCCTGCTCTGAGTTCAGAGCTGGAGCTGAAGTCACCAGATTGGAAGGAATAACGGGGAAAAGGGTGGAGCTGCTGCCACAGCGAAGGAATTACTTTTTGGGGTGCTTTCTCAGGGCAGCAGTGAAGCCACCAGGGCATCTGGGTTGATGGGGATGCCTGCATCCCCCTCATCTCCTAGCCACCAGCAGCACCTGTCACCTCAGCACGAGGCAAGGTTTGGGAGCCCCCCATGTCCTTTCCCTCTGGTTTCCCTCCCTTCCCAGGGAGCTTGGGGCTGCTGGACGCTTCTGGTCAGGCCTGGAGCTGTAGCAGCTGGGGACCCTCCCCTTGGCAGGCCTTCCTGAGTCTGCTCACACCAATAGCCGCAGCGCCATGGTGGGCCAGCACATACTCTGCTCTTGCCACCCCATACCCTTGGGTGTAACCCAAGAGCAGCGGCTCAGGGAGGTCAGAGTAGGGGAAGGCTCAGCCTGTCTGTGTGGCCAGGGAGCTGGGTTTATTCAGGAGGTGCAGTGGCCATCGGCTTGCTGAGCCAGCAGAGTCTCAGCTGGTGGTTGTGACGCGTGGGGACTGCTGGTGGCTTCCCCAGGACGGGCAGGTCTGGTGCTGGACCTCCCAGAGGCACCTCCCTCTGGCACCATCACTTCACCGACACTGTCCGCGCCTGGTTCAGCTGCAGAAGAAGGGGCAGATTGGCAAACGCTGCTTTCCCTGGGAGAAGAGGCGTTGGGCTGAATTCTTTCGTGGTGCAATTTCTCCAAGCCAGCAGGGTTGGGAGGAGGGACCGGCTCGAGCCTGTTTGGCTGGGGGCAGAGCCGGGGAGAGAGGTTCCCCTGAGTCAGCTCTCTGGCGCTCCACCTTGGGAAGGAGATAAACTGGTCGGGATGTGGCATGAGGTTAGGAGGAGGCAGGGAGCGGAGGGAGACTTTTCTCTGGCACGGGGTGATCTGGGTGAAATTCTCTTCATCCTCGTCTTTGGTCGATGTGGCTGGGCAGAGGGCAGGGTCTGTAGTGGGAGGGAGCAGCAAGAGCTGGGTAAGAGAAGAGCCCCCAAAATCTCAGAAAAGGTTGAGCCTTGGAGGGGTTGGAGGGGAGAGGATTGAGCACTGGTTGTGGCTCTGATATCATCTCTAGCCTGGGGCACATCGTTTAAAGGCAACGTGTTTTCACAGCTGTTGAATTGTCTCTTGTGGGTTTGCTGTGAGGGCTGTTTTGTAGAGAGCTACTCATGTCTTTAATAAATGATCGATGGTGAAGTTACCAGAGGAGGTAGCTCTGGGGCACGGATAGACAGGGTTTGGACAAGGCATATCTGGTTCTTTGTGACTTTGCCTCTGTCTCTGAGGCAAGCCCCATCGATGGTGGAGCACTCCCTTCTGCCCACTCTCCTTGTCCCTGCCTCCCCCTCTCTGAATAAATACCTCTGAGGCACCTTGTGGAACCCTCCCTGCTGCATATTTTCCTTTAATTTTTTCTAAACCTCTTCCTTATCTCCTGCTTCCTCTTACAGGAATGACTGCCTGCACTAAGAGCTGTGCCCAGTTCTCCTTTGCCATCAGGCTACACACCCCCATGAGTTTCCTAAAGGCGATGCCAGGCTATTCCCACTGTTGTTCTGCCACTGTGGACTTGCCTTCCACCCCCTGGCACGAAAAGCCCTTTTGTGGGTTGCTCCAAACCGGTAACCCTCTGTTCTGTCCTTTCTTTTCCAGCCGGATCTCCTCAATTTCAAGAAGGGGTGGATGTCCATCCTGGATGAGCTGGGAGAGGTAAGCCCAAGACAAGTGTCTGCCTCTTCCCCAAGCCCCTGCTGCTAGACATCCCCCAGTGAACCAGTTGACTTCCTTCCTCCTTGCTTGCTGAGGTCTCTCCTGCTGGGAAGGGCAGTGGAAAGCTTTTGGTGGAGGTGCCTTGCTCTGTGTGCAGACTCAGAGGTTCACCCAGTGCTTCTCTCCCAGCTGAGGGGCATAAGGGGAAGTTGGGAGGGATGTGGAGGAGGGGAAAGAGATGACCAAGAGGTCATAGCACAGAGCATCCCTCCTTGTTCCTACGCTTTCCCTGGTAACTGCCTATCCGTTTCCCTCCTGTCTTTTCCCGTCCCTCCCCCGCCTGATCCACCTGCAGTGGAAGAAACATTGGTTCGTGCTGTCCGACTCGAGCCTGAGGTATTACCGGGACTCAAACGCGGAGGAGGTAAGCGTGGCCAGCCTTTCTCCAGCCCTTCCTTCCTGGCTGGGGTGGGGAGAGGAGCACAGCCATGGCATGACCAGCATGCTCCAAGGAGAAGGGGCAGCGTCACATCCTCCTGAAGGACGTTGGAGGTGGCAAGCTACTCTTTGCCAAGGAGTGACAAAGAGGATGAAGGTGGTGAAGTCTGAGGGTGCTGTCAGTGGTGGGAGGTGAGGAGAAGAGCTGATCCTGGGGTTAGGCATCTCTGATGCATTCCACCCACACTGCTGGCTGCCCTTGGGTTAGGAGAGGCCATGCTGTGCCAGGAAACCGGGCCTGCCTCCCAGGGAGCTGAGCCTGGCCCCAAGAGAGCAGTGGGATGAAGGCAGAGGTGGCCTGTGCATTGGTTAGGGTGCTGGCAGGTGATGGAGGCTTTTTCAAAGCTGGGTGAGCACTGATACCCTAGCGGGTGGCTGTGCTTGCAGGCTGATGACCTCGATGGAGAAATTGATCTCCGCTCCTGCACGGATGTGGCAGAGTTTGCAGTGCAGCGCAACTACGGCTTCCAGATACACGTGAGTGTCCGGAACACTGGGTGGGACACTTGGGTGGGAACCTGTGCTCCCTTGCCGTGCCAAGATGCTGAGATGCAATTCATACAAATCTTCTGCCAGCATGGTGGCCCAGCAAGGCTGGTTTGGTGACACGTGAGTTGCAGTGCTCAGAGGCACAAGTGTTGCCTGCCTGCAAAGGGAGGAGGAGGAGGCTTTGCAGGGCTGGCTGAAGGCTGTACTGGAGATGGTCCAGGAGCCAAGCTAAATGCCAGGAGTGTCTAATTGACCTCTTGGTGAATGCAGCTTCTCTACAGCTGCAGGGATGGAGTGGTGAGCACTGCAGATCTCAGTGTAGCCTGACTGACTGTGCTCTGAGTGACAACCTGTACCCTGGATCCAGCCCCAGAACAGTCCTGTTCTTGGCTACTTGCTGTAGCAGCAGGAGGTGGCTACTAAGGCAGCACAAAAAATAGTATTTCTGTGGGTGTGCAGGGCTGGGCATTTCATGGTCTGGGTTTTCCTGTGCCCTGCTGCTGTACCCCAGTGCTGGTGCCCAGCACCTGAACAGCTGGATTGCACTGGCTTGTGTTTGGCCCAATGTGCCGGCAAAGTTTCTTTTGCCTTTGCTTGGAGATGGTCTCATGGAGGATGTGTAACAGGCTTTCCCTCAAAAGTGTCTCCTCTCTCACCCCTCCACCTGGCCCCAAGAGCCTGAGACAGCAGGTGGTCTTTTTAACACTGTCCACTTCCCGTGCAAGGAGGTGTTTGTGGGTCTCAGGGAGCGAGTGGGAGCTGCCTGCACCTCCACTGGGTGCTGATGGGGCCTCTGTTGCCTCCCTGTTGCAGACAAAGGATGCCGTCTTCACCCTGTCAGCGATGACCTCGGGCATCCGGCGCAACTGGATCGAGGCCTTGAGGAAGAATGTGCGCCCAGTCAGTGCTCCAGATGTCACTAAGTAAGAGCTGCCCCATGCTGTTTCTCTCCTTCTCCCTTGCTGCCCCTCTACCCTGGCAAGCAGGGACCAGGAAAGCCCCTCTGGAAATATCACTGCTCCCAGATCAGCCCTGCCCTCTACTCCTCTTGAAAATGGCTTGGTTACACCTGCTGGTAACAGGGGTTGAGAACCTGATGGTTCTCTCTCTTGCACCTGCTTTTTGCCTTGCCATGTCAGTTTAGACTGGTTTCTCCACCAGCATAGCTGGGACTGCAGTGAATCCTCCCCACCCTGTGGAGGAACCCATTTCCTCAAGGGATGGGATGCTACAGGCCCAGCTCCACGCTCAGGCTGGGGTTTCGTAAAGCTGGGCTGAGTGAGGGCTGAGCCTCAGGCAATTGGCAGTGCCTCTGCTGACATCCTTTCCCAAATGGTGCCTCTTCTTCACCAGTTGCTGCTCTGGTTTCAGGCTTTCTGACTACGATAAGGAGAACTCCTTCCGTAACTGTGTTCCCCAGAAATGCTCAGTCCGGCCGGAGGAGCAGCCGCGGCTGAGCTCGGGCTGCGAGGGGAACTCGAAGGGCAGTCACTGGAAGGCGGATGGGCAGCGCCCTGCCTTTGACTATGTAGAGCTGTCTCCCTTGCCACAGGACCCCGGGAATCAGGGGTCCCTGCAGAGGACGAAAGGGAGCTTGAGAATTTCCGACCGCACTCCCAAGTATGAGGAGCTGGAGCGGGATATAGCCGTGCGCTCGGAGGAGAGGAGGAAATGGTTTGAGGCTTCGGATGTCAGGGTCCCAAACACCGATGGCACAGCAGGAGATTCTTCCCGCAAGGTCGGGGAGCAGGACCTCCCCACTCCTCCGCTTTCAGAGGACCAGAGGATTCGTCTGAATGAGGAGATAGAGAAGAAGTGGCTGGGGGTGGGAC